TCCACAGAGTTTGCATCTGAAACAAGATGCCAAAACAATAGGAAGTAAAAGGGGTGGGAGTACAAAGGAAGCAATAAGAAGAACAAGCCTTTGCATAAGTCAGCTCCTCATAGGCCAGGGGGGTCAAACGGGTTTTTATTAGTTTTGAATTAAGGTATAAACTAGGGCTGACTGAAAAATTTCCATGTAAACTGTTTTTGGATGGAAAATAAGTTTTTGATTAAACAAAAATCCAAAAACTAATTTCTGGTTTTCAGTTTTGCAGCAAAAAGTCAACGTTTTCCAAAAACAATTTGTTTTTGTCAAAAAGTTTTCTTCAGGAAAAAAAATCTTTTCCCAACCAGCTCTCATTTAAACAACAAATAAGATAAATATCAGGCAGCCCCTACTGGTCCCCTACTTAAAGTTAAATTTTTAATAGCAATGAATTATCTAAAACCTTCCAACTACTGTTTTTGTTGTTTCTGTCCTGCTTCTCCGCTATACTCTGCTCCTTGCGCTAACGTCCACTTCAAAGATTAGGATTCTAGTTAATTTCAGCTGACAGCACGCAACCAAAGGAGGACAAAACCAGGCAGGGTAGAAGAGGGGATTGAAAAGGGTGACAGCTTCAGAAGTGAGATTTGGAGTGATGGAAAAGAAAAGGAGATAACTGGGATATGAGAGTGAGAGGAGAGAGAGAGAGAGATTATTTGTGACGGAGTAAGAAGATAATACAGATTCAAGTACAGACAATACAGAAAGTCCCAAGGAAAATGGTTTTTTTGTACAAATCTTGGAGGCTTTCCCCCCCCTTTTAGCTCTCCAGATCTCTGTCCTTTTGGGATAAACTAAATTATATATTAATTGTGCTTTATTTGAAAATATTGCTTTGCTTTCATATTAATACATAGTTATGGCAGGTGGCAATGTTACACGTAGGTTTTCAAGTTCTTTTTCTTAGAGAATATGAGCAGCTTTTGACTCTTGGGAAGACTTGCTGTGTTAGTTTTGAGTTAAAAGTAGGGTTTTGTGCAAAAGTAGTTTTGGGAGAGAAGGAACTGTGCCAGCAATGGGAGAGCATGTTTTCTGCCTTGGGCTCTAATCAGAGACAATTATGGAGGCAGAGATGACAATTACGGAGGCAGGAGTCTTAGCCCATGCTGGGCTAAGACTCCTGGAAAATGGGACTGCCCAAAGTTTACATTTAGTACATAGTAAGATCGCAACAATGTTTTATCCTCCACTGACATGGTAAGGTCTCTGATACCAGCTATCACTTGGCAAGCGGTGACTTCATGTCAGAATGAGGGTCAACAAGATATTTAACCAGATTCTTATGTTTTTCAACCCAACAGAAACCTTCAGTGAAATGACAGGAGAGAGCAGTGAAATGAAAAGCCCCTCTACTGCCCTACTATGTATTTCTTACCTTCCCCTCAAATCTGGCCGTGCCTCCCAGCAGCACCCGGATATTCCTAGGAGGAAGAATGAATGCTGGTGCTTCTGTTGGGACAGAGGGGCTGAGAGATGAGTGCTCCAGCGTCACAGAGGTTTTGGAAATACGAGTCGATGACACCAGTTTCACATCCCCCATGGTTAAAGCTTTCAAAGAGAAAGAGAAACAAGAAGTAAAATGTTGACTTGTTACTATTATTTATACAACAGTAGCAACTAGGGGCCACTAAGATCACGGCTTGGTTGTGCCATATGTACACATAGTAAGAGACAATCCCTGCCCCAAAGAGCCTTCAGTCTTAAGTGACAAGTATTATTCCCATTTTACAGATGGGGAACTGAGGCCCTAAGAGTTTAAGCGAGTTGCCTAAGATCACACAGTAAATCAGTGAGAGCTTTGAACTTCATGCAAATCTCCCAAGTCCCAATCCAGTACCTTAACCACAAGCACGCCCTTCTCAGCTGTGCTTTAACTGTAATAGTGCACTTAAAGTTGTTTTTAACAATATGACTCTTTGGTTTTCCTGGCGTAGAATACACGGACAATCAACAGGCTGTAAAAGCAGAGCCAATGTTAAACAAATACATGTGACATAAAGAGTTCTATTTCCAATGGATTTAAGTTACAGAGGTGAATACTGAAAGTCTGATTTTTCATACCACGCTTTCAAGATCTTAAGAAATATCTGCAAATCTCCCTCCAAAGAAACACACTGCAGATACACCAGGGATACTTATTTTGCAAACATTCCAAACCCCTAATTTCCAAAAGGAAAAGTAAAGGCTTTCTACATGCATGAGGAAAAGCAAGGAGATCAAAGCTAGAGAGGTAACTATACCAGATTGCAATTGAAATGGCATTTTTAAAAGTCCCATTATGGATAATTGTCCCATCAGAGACAGCTCACTGTGGAATGTCTATGTACATCACACTGCCGATGTATTACAGCAGCACCTAGATGTTCCAACAAATATCAGGGCCCCATTATGTTGAACACTATACGCACCCACAGGAAAACATAGTCCCTGCCCCAAAACACTTATGATATAAATAGACAAGGTGGACAAAGAACTGGAGGGGGGGAAATGACTAAGGTCACACTGCAGATCAGTGGCAGAGTCATGAATAGAACTCAGGTCTTATAAGTCCCAGTTCAGTGCCTGATCCATTAACCCATGCTACCTCCATTTCTGATATCAGTTATAACAGATATAAATACATAACTAGGCAGTAAAGGTTTAACTTAAATAGGCAGGAACTGTGCAAATTTAGAGCTGCATTGTTCAGATGCAGAGGGCATGCCATCTCAAAAGACCCATGCTATGGAAAAAAACAAACAACTCAGGGATTGCCCACAATCCTAGAGGAAGTGGGGAAAGGCCAAAGCTACAGCTCTATTTCTCCCATGTCAGGCATGCTATGGGGAGCAGTCTGCCCCCTCTCAGGTTGCACGCTCCCCCAACACATTACGGGGGCTACAAAAGCTCCCCATGGGAAGGTGCAGCACAAGCACCATGTTCAATAGCATGTCTAAGTGGCCAAGTGTTACAGGGGCATCAGCATGAAAGCTGGTTAATTTAAAACAGAAGCGTCATTGCAGGTTCTGCGTCTACCCCTGCCAATTTTTGTGGTTTTAGAATCACGTTTTCCTCTTTTATTTAACTTTTTCAGTCCCCTGATGCTCTCTGACAGATACATAATACAAGGAAAACTGACTAAACTATATAGGGGAGACGGTGACATGGACACTATACAAAATGCTGTTCAATGCACTAACTAAGCTAGCTGGGGAAAAAAAAGAATATATATTTCTCTCTAGACTCTTTCAGCTACCCCACCTTAAGAGTTACTTGCAATGATAATAGGTAAAAATCATCCAGACAGAAGAGAGATTTGGACGATGCCTGTCTCCACTTAATATGGTTTTCCTGTCCAGTACAGACAGGAATTAACTGTACTATAAACAGTTTTGCGATAGCATGATTTAAGATGGGGGTGGAAAAGAGGAAGAATCTAGAGTACAATTTGCCAAGACTATTTGCAACCTAGTGTACACTCTTTAGGGAAAACGCGTTGACACCCATTACCATTAGCAAGAACGGAATTTAAACCTGGCTCTAATACAAATACAGATGGTCTGTAGCCATTGTCGTTTTCACCCTACTACCCAAACATATCCATTAAGCTCCTACTCCTTGTCCACCCTCACACCCAGATGAGACAGCTTCCTAGCATTGCAAAGCAAGGCGGGATCGGCATTCATTGGGTTATGCTCTGAAACCAG